TTCAAGGCAGAAGGCTGCAAAGCCTCTGTCTCTTATACACATCTAGATGTGTATAAGAGACAGGTTCTAATTCAAAGCCGTGTTGTATTCCAATACAGCTCACACAGCAAACGGAATTCGAACACGTGGATGACGGCATTACGTATCAGTAGAATTTGAAGCGCGGACAGAATACGCCTCACCACGTGCCAAATATTGCTACACACGGTGACGGAATATAGGGATTTGGTAGGTTTCCATTCTAAAGGCTTTTAAATAAATATGGCAACATTTTGTGACGTTTCATTGTTGCTGCCACGTAGTGCGATGTTTTGAGAGTCACATAAAGCGAACAGAACTTGAGTAATGCATACGGTTATTTTTTTATAGTTTTTCATTTCTCGATGCGTCCTTAATGTGACAGAATATACCGCATTTACCCTAGGTTTCCTATAAGCCAATTTCAAAGTTTTTAGCACCAGCAGAAAGCTCTTGTAGGCTATCTATCTATTCTAACTAAATTAAAACATTTTGGTTGAGACTTTGACTGCAGGTGGGTTGGGACTTGGGAATATTTGTGTGGCTGATAGATATGAATGGTATAAATTCACTGAAAGGTAGAATTGAAATTAGTAAATACCAGTTTGATAAATGAATAATGAATAAATGACAAATGAAAAAAGAAATGAAAGATGATTGATGCTCCAAATGTTGCTGCCTGCGTGAGATTGGTGTGCGTCCCATCATGGGACCAAATCGGCAATCACCAAATCCCCGCCTCCCGAAAGGGAGGCCCAAAGCCTGTTTTTTGGCCGGGCCGGCGCACGGGCCCCCGTGTGTTGCTGGCGGTGTTGCTGCTGAGATCTGGGGATGTTGAAGCTAACCCGGGACCGGTGTGGGTGTGTCAGATCTGTGGCCACCGAATCACTAAGACACAGACGTCTTTCCAATGTAATTCACAATCACTACACTGGGTTCACGAAAAATGCACCACAATCAAAACAGCAGACTACAATAACAACTGGACCTGCAGTCTTCACACAGCACCCCCAATTACCATAAACCCACATATTCAACAAAACTTACCCCAGCAACACAACCCAGCATTACCACCCCAAAGACCCACTCAACAACCACAGTCATTAGTTCTACCAAACCCTCCAAACCNTTTCACACCTGACCCCGCTGAATACAGGAAAATACTAAACCTTACCATAGACAATACCACAATCCCCACCATCACACACCCAAAAATACTAGGAATCACATTTGACCCAAAACTAAACTTCAATACCCACATCCACAACACACATGACAAGGCAACCAAAACAATAAAAATTCTAAAATCTCTCACATCAACAAACTGGGGAAAACAAAAAGAAGTCCTACTCACCACCTACAAAACTATAACACAACCTATAATAGAATACGGCAGCACCATCTGGTCCCCCAGCTTAGCACAAACTCACACAAACAAACTACAAACAATCCAAAACACAGCACTCCGCATTGCAACAGGTTGTACAGCTGATACTAACCAAAGCCACCTACACACAGAAACAAAACCGCTTCCAATAGACCAGCACCTCAGACTCCATGCATCCCAACTCAGACTAAAAGCTCAAGCACCAACCCACCCACTTCACACTCATACTCAACCTTACAACCCACCCAGACTTATGAAACAAACAGTTTTCACAAACAGAAACTATACCACTAACATACTCATAGAACCAGATCAAGCCACAACAGAAACACTAAATAGATGCAAGAAACAAATACACACTACAATCACAACTAACTACATAGACAATCTACCAAACAATGCTGTACTTTCGGCACCAGCACCAGCCATAGACTCTTCAGAAACCCAATTACCCAGGCACACACGCCAAGCACTAGCACAACTCCGTACAAACAAGTCCCCCCTACTACACCAATACCTACACAATATAGATCCAGCCACACATCCGTCCCCTCTTTGTCCACTCTGTCTCAGACATGAACACAACACCTGCCACCTGTTCGGCTGCTCGGAACTGGTCACGCCCTTGTCGCCCCTGGTTTTGTGGGACTCTCCCATCGAGGCGGCGGGACTGTTAGCGCGCTGGGGAGAGAGGTTGGGCTGGCCACAGGAATGGGTGTAGGCCCCGTCCCGCACTTGTCGCGGGACGGGGAGGGCGAACAACAACAACAAAGATGATTGATGAATGAATAATAAATAAATGATAAATGAGTGATGAATAACTGGTGCCAGCAGGTTCATTGATGCATTCATTATTTGATAGAGAAATGTTAGGTAAACAATATATACATGATAGATAAACAATAGCTACATGCTAGGTAAAAAATAGGTAGATGATAGCTAAATGATAAGTAAATTATAATAATAAATGGGGGTATCAAGTGGCATTTATATTGGAATTCCTGGATCAAGAGATTCTTTTGTACACCCCTTTTACTGTAAAAGCACATCAAAGTTATCACATGCTGAACCTTCCACCCCTGCAGGCTGCAGCTAGTTTTCATTCCGCTGATATTGCCTTTTTTGCCTCATGTGGATCTTCTCTCCAGCATCTACATGGATGTGCTGAGATCTGTAGTCAATTCAATGCCTTGTGAATTCTTGAAGCAGAGCTATCCTCAGAATTTTCAGATCTATACTGATGGATGATGTTCTGCTACTAGATCAGTTTCTGCTGGTCTTTATCTATCATCTACCAACCTGGCTACTGGGTGACTGTTGAATCCAGCACACACAAGACTGGGGGCTGAATTATTTGCTATATTCAAGGCAAGGCCATGTAGCTTGCCACCACTGATGTATCTCTGCAGGGTAAGCCAGTTTTCATCTTGACTGACTCATGAGCAGCACTGCAAATTTTTTCTTTTCCATCTGGTTGCTCCTATTGCTTGATCTTTGTTCAAATTCAAAACTGATGCAAATCAAGGGGCTTAATAGAATGATGATGTGCTTGGTTTGTAGCCATAGCAACATTCGTGGGAATGAGTTGGCTGATTTAATGGCAAACCTTGCTTACATGAATGATCACTCTGCACAATCCAGTTTGTGTTTTGAGGAGTGGCTCATCTTGTTAAAGGCCAAATTCTTGGAACATTGGTCTGGGGAAGTGCAGTCTTCAGGCTGGGTTTGGGAGCAACGTTAAATTATGAGGACTATGATTGCTACCTTGCTCAATGGAATATGCTAAGGCTCATTGCTGTGACTTGGTCATGCAGGTGTGAAAGCCCACTTGGCCTGTATAAATTTGGCTAATTCCAGCATATGCCCTACCTGCAACAAGGAAGACACAATTGGTCACTTCATTTTGCACTGTTTGCTCTTCATCAACCAGAAGAGGGAGTTTCACTCAAATCTGGATAACCTTTCATTCCCTTGCAATCTTGCCACAGCTCTGGGGGGGGGGGTAATACCTACCTTGAAAAAGAAGAACTGGTTAGTCATCACCTTGGACAATACCTCATAAGATGCAGCATGATGAACACAATTTGAAAATAATTGGTATCTAATTCTTTTTATTTCTTCTCCCACACAACAACCACCTCTTCATGAGAGTGTGACAGAAATCCAAATTGAAGCAAAAGTGGCAAGATAAAATAAAGTTCCCACAAAATCCAGTTGTGCTCAGGCTGGGTGGTGTGACTTCTTCCCATCCAAAGTCCTAAAATCAATAAAAATATTCGTTGCTTTGATAATTTGATTGTTCATGAATCATGGTGTGTTAAGGAGTGTTGTAAATTTTTGCGTAATAATTCTAATTTTAGGTCATAATGCCTATCCTACAATTACCTGACTAATCTTGGCAATGGATTGAGTTAAAAAGCAATGTGCATGCAAATTTGCCACTTGTTCTTGCCCTTTACCTTTGATCATTTGATGTACTGTCAAAAGCTTCAATGACATGTAAGCTGCTAATAAGCAGCTACTGCACTTAGCTTGCCACTTGTCACTAATAATTGTATACTAGTCAGAACTCAGAAGTTCAGTGCTATGGCTCTTGTTAGTTTAGGCAGCTGACTCCTTGTTAGAAATACAGACAAACTATGCAAATTAATGTTCACATGAATGCAACTGGTTCAAATGACAGACAGTTAAATGTGCCATTTGTCTTATTTTTTCTACAAAAAAATTAGGCAGGAGCCTTCAAAATGGAGGAAATTGACTGCAAGTGCAAGCACAGACAATTTAGTCTTGTGCGTCAGTTGCTTCTGCTGGGCTGCCAAATTCCCAGAATGTTTTAACAATGATGCTTATTGTTCTTATTTTACTGTGAAACCTGTTTCAGATATATAGGTATTACTTTAATTCTTTTTGCAAATTTATTTAATCAAATTCTAAATGGCTTTTGTAACTAGGATCTCTTGGAGACTACCAATTCGTCTCAGTTCAGATTGCAAACTTCCTCCAGTACTTCACAGAGCGCACTCAAAGGTGAGGGGAAATTTTATTGTGGATATAAACACTGCAAATGTTTTTCTATAATTCTATGTGATTTAAATGTCAAATAATTCTTTCTGATATAGGTATTTTTTTAGTATGAAATTTTGTAACAGTTTATTTTACTTTTTTCCTTATGATACCATTCCTTTTATTCAATTTTGTTGTGTTGGTAGTATTCAAGTAAAATAGAGTTTCCAATTTCACTATTTTCTTGCACTAATTCATTTTAATTTGGTAGGACTATAGTCAATTTGTACTTAGTTATATTGGTTTTGACAATTTGATGTAGGTAAGTTGAGTGATCTATTTGAATTTGGTTGTTTACCTTTGTTCAGTTTAGACTGCTTAATAAATTAAATTAAGTTTTTGATAGCATAAGCTTGTTTTTTCTGATTTTGCAATCAAATGAAAGTTTCTCTTGGACATCAGTGTCAGTGTGCAATGTGCAGCAATATTGGAAAATGTTTGAAAATTTTGCTTCATTTCTGAAGTGGCAACTCTTTGCTTGTTAGTATTGATCCATATTTTTCACTTGATTATCCATTGTTTCCTCCTTTTTTCTGCAGAATTTGCATTCCTGTTCATCATCATGCAGTTCAGTTGAACTCCCTAATCAGACACAAGTTATACGGACACCTCATGTTCAGCTTGTCACTCGGCAACTCAACTTTCAAGGCAGAAGGCTGCAAAGCCTGAGACTCATTAGCTCAAGCACATGCCTTCGTCAAGAGAGTGATGAAGAGAATGGAGGGGAGGAGGAGAAGCCAGAAGGACGTCCTGTACTTGATTTAGTAGATGGTGTGAGACTTGCTGTACGAAATCACAAAGTCCTTGAAATACCTGTGGATGTCAGCATTAGGTATATGAAGAGTGAGGGTAAGTTACTTATCTTTCAAATGTTTAAGTATATTCAGACATACTTTTCTTCTAAATACAAGTGTTGCTTATAATTAAGCTAAAGTTGAATCATCACCTCACCATTCTTTTATTATTAATATTATTTTGCAATATTGTTGTAAAGAAAAAAAAATAGCATTGCTATTGTTTCTTATGATAATTCTTGTACATATATTTCCACCACTCATTGATTCGGTGGTATCAATTAATAAAAAAAATAGTACAAAAAGGTTTGCCAAAACCTGGGAAAGTGAAATTCTTCTGTTGGGTTCAGAATCCTATAAATTTTATCAGTGTGGAATTATAGGCTAAAATTATAGTTTTTAGTAGTTCACTCTCAGAGTAATAATCCAGATGAGGAAGTGAGCAATTTAATGTGTATTTGCTAGTAAATAATTGCAAATTATGATTCATAAAAAATTTGTGCCAACATGCTTGAAAGCCACAATAATAAATAATTAAATTTTAAAGAGAAAACGTTAATCCTCTTGTGTCATGAATTGGAGCCACGTAACTGTATATAGGTATATTATATTCATGTTAATATAGCACCAAACTATTGTTTAAAATTGGAAGAACTGTTCATCAGATTTGTTAACTATTGTGCCAAAACCTTGAGCACTTCTTTCTTCATGTACATGAATTTTATCTTCAGTTTTACCATGTAACTTATGTAGACGTTTTTATGTATGAGAATTTGACGCTCGGTTTACATTTCAGCGTATAAGAGCACCTATGGAGACGAGCCAGTCTGGAAGAAATACAGGCGCAATAATCCTGGCCAGTATTTTGACTTGACCAGACCTGCGTGCATTGTGAGTATGTCTTCATAGCTAATATTAATGTTGCAGATATAAAATTCCATTTTAGTGGTGTGAAAATAATTGCTTGACTGGTGAGCATTTCCTGTTTTTCTTACGAATAATACATTATCTAGTTATTTTTTGTTTCTGAAGACAAGAAATCAAGTTTGAACGAATGTTTTGATAACATAAAACGCCATTTGGCATTAATTTTAAAAATTTATCAATTAATTTAATGTGTGGCACAACAATATCTATCTAATTCAAAGGTTGCGCAGACATCTTTCAAATACGTCTACTTTTTGAAGGCCATGTGTTTTTTTTGTTGAAGGAAGTATTGATAAGTTTCTGAGACTTCCTCAGTTCGTCACTCAAGAAGTTTAAATCCAATTACCACATGTAGAAGTGTTGCTGACAGTTCCTCCCAGTTGCTCAGTATTGCTTGCCTAATTCCACACAGCAGGCACAGTTTAAATGATCTTAATGTTTCAAAAAGTAAGGATTCACACAAAACGCACAAATAAATCTTCCAGTAGAATATTTATCTATACCAGTTGCAAATTATCCTATAAAATTCTACTCTGGCGCTGAGCGTTTTCTGTCACTCGAGTATATTTAACACTTGGCGGAGGCGTGTTAAAAATAATGCTTGGAGGTATTATAAATAATAATACTAAGCTGCGTGTTGTGCACAGCTTGGAGGCGTGTTGGCCAGAGCCAGCGCCTGTCCAATATGCCGGGACGACTACCTCGTTGTCGACTACAGGAATGTTGAGCTGCTCAAGCAGTTCATCTCACCACAGTCCGGTCAGCAGTACTTTATGAAGTGAGTACCACAATTTCCATGTTTTTTAACCAAATGAAATTCAAAGTTCACAAATCACTGCAACATTTTTAGATTGGGTTGTAGAAAGTACAATTTTTTGGTGCGTTATAAATTCTCGTTTGAAAGTTTGGTTTTTTTTCCTGAAATGGTTTGCTCGAAAACTTACTGCTTGTGTATCATTTTACTCTTAGTTAGCTTGTAAAATTAAGAAGTGCATCTCTATTTGGAAGACCCAGCTTGGCACGCTAGGGATAACTGAAGTAAAATTCATGCACAGGGAACTATACACAAGTAAGATACTCAACTTAATCATGTATGCTCTGACAGGAAAACTTGCGTGTGTCAGCGAGCATTTAGATACCTGGAGGTGGCCATAGAGCGGGCTAAGGACATGGGTCTGCTAGTGCATGACGTGCCCATACGCCGCTACGACTATCGTAATTTTTACCCTCCCGAGCTGCTGCAAAGTAACTACACATACGTTGAGCAGTGATGCTCGAATAATGTGTAGGAATTATTTTTCGTGACTGTAATAAAAAATACGATAATAAAGTTTGAGAGTTAATGGAAAATGTGCAATCGCTCATATATTTCAGTCCTTGAATTAATCTGGCGTTCAATGTTGTCATTAATTATTCACTGAAAAAATCATGTTTAAGCGATCAAATTAGTTCATACTGCGGAGCATAGGGCATGTTTGTGCCTTGCTAATGCTAAATATTTTCATAATTATGAGAAGATGATGTAGATAGTTACCTACTCCAACCCACATGGATAGAAGTAAATGAATTGTAGACAGCATGTGTTCTTACGATACATTCAAAAATACACATCATTTAAAATAATTTGGTAAAATAACTTCTTATTGTACGATGACAAAAAAAAATCAAGTAAAAAGACCATTTACCAAAAATACACATGGCACTTCAGAGCGCGCTGCTGGCTTGATCCCGTGTATATATGATGACATGAACATTTATCCAAAAAAAAAACTAATGAAACTAAGTAATAATAGTTACCGATATACCAAACATCAAATAACATATACAAGTAAGTTGTGAATGCAACATAATCAGCGAAAAACGGCTTGAGGCATTCGGCGAAATGATGTCACAATAGTAACAGTCAATCATATGCTTAAGCTTGCACCAAGTACATAGGTTCTGAGTAAATCAATCTTAGAATCCGAGCCCCCTTACATTAAAATATAATTTTAAAGAAATTCACAAGATAAAATAACAATCCCATGACGTACAACCGAAACCGAGCCACTTGTGTAAAACTAAAAGAAACAATGGCGGCTATACCAACCGGTTTCAATATTGTCATGGAGTATAATGGTAAAGAAGATGAAAATAGTGTTCAGTTACGTAGGAGTGAAAAAACTCTTAAAGCTGTCAACATATCTATTACTGAACCATTTCCAGTTAACGCAGTAAAGAAATTTTAAACAGTAATAACAAATCATTAATAAAGTCAATTACGAAAACGACTAAACATGAAAGTATTTTATGATAGTTAATATGGACAAAAACGTTTTGCGATGCGCTGTGTCCAACCACGAATGAAATGTGTTCGCAGCAGTAACAGACAAAACAAAATAAAAATTCAAAATGTATAGTAATCGGTAGATTGACTTAGGTAATTCAGATTATGTAACTCGGCCAATAAGCTAAGCCAAGGTTCTTTAAAACCATTTCAAACCGCTACTGTTTACCGTAAACTCGTGTGCTAATACGGCCACCGTTGTTATAGCCCAACGAGTAGACTGTACAATATGACAAGACTTCGACCCTATTCCCAATGCTACAAGAGTTATAGTTAAACTGCGACAGTTACTTCCAAATTCTAGAAAGCATCACGTTGAAAGAAAATACCATTCGAGTTAAGAATCTAACTAAGCTAAAATCACAGAAAGTAGTATTAAATCTTCATGACTGCAGCTCATGCAACGAGATGAGTTCATAAATCAATCTGAACCCATTATCGTTTAACCTTATGCTACTTGTGGTAAACCTTCCAGGATAGGGATGCCGAATCTAGAGTCGTGCGCCCGAATCTAGAGTTTGGAAACGTTGTGTGGTCACCGAGATTTGAAAAGGACAAAAATTTAATAGAGAATGTTCAAAGACGTGCAACAAGGATAATTCCAGGCTTGAAGGGCAAGTCCTATGAAGAAAGATTAAAGATTATGAAGCTTCCAAGCTTCAGTTATCGCCGTCTGGGTGGGGACCTCTTTGAACTATACAAGTATACTCATGGTTTATACAAGGTCCCTGAAGGATTACTAAAATTTGAAACAAGAACCAACACCAGAGGCCACGGCTATTAACTAAAAAAACTGCGCTGCAACTTGTCCACGCGACAACATTTCTTCTCGCTTCGAATCACCGACATGTGGAACAGCCTCCCCGAGTACATCGTTGGCGCTTTTAGTATGAACGCGTTCAAGAACAGACTAGATAAAGCTATGGAAAAATATATGTTCAGATTTGAAATGCCCAGCACCATATCGAACCCAGTGGAAGGATAGTAGCTATTTCAAACTATGGTCAGTCTTGAAAATATCCGGTCAAATGACAAGATTTTAGATCTTCTGTGAACAAGTCATGAAAAGTTCAAGATTCGGCGACAGGCCACATCCAGCCTACTCTTTAGCGCCGAAATCACCATGTTATGTTATGATACCATCAATGAAAAAAGTGATGGATCTAAATTTAAAAATAAAAGTTACTACATTTTAGTGTTCAGTGTCAGTGACTGCTAATTCAAATGACATTTAAATTTTTCATTTATTGCATACAAATTCATTTCAACACGAAACGGAATAGTGATCAAGGTCCGTGATTCAATATAGCACAGCAAGAACATCACTCGCAACGCCAGTTCAAGTCACCTAATGTGTAATGTCTTAGATCTAACATTAATTGATAAATAATATGACTTCAAAATCTGCCCGTAACCACCAGAGAATAGCGCTTTAAGCTTTAAAAAAATATTATATGGCATATGCGTAAGAAATGACTGGGGCGAGAACTCGCACCGAACGTAAAATGCCCCACAAGAGAGGTTAAATACAATTATTATACATAGGAAATAAACGATAAAAAATATATTATCATTACTAAAATCCAGACGGGTCGCACAACCATCCATTTATCGTCCAAATCATCGTGATGAGCTGAACACAAATGGCACGAGAGCTAATATTTGGATTGTTAACATAATCTTGCCCATCCCGCAATTGAGACATGAAACCTTGAGCCCAAATAAGAAACGTGTTACTTCAGTAGGAGGCTCCCGAAGCTACAAGTAAAACAACCATTATCACATCTTGGAGCTCAAATATTTAAGAAATGCAATTTCTTGGGTAAGAAAGTCAACTCCAAGTGACCAACAAATCAGCAGGGAAAACCCCGCTGCTTGGCGACGCATAAATTATTAGGATGCAATCACTCCAAAATGCCCCGAGCCCGGGCTATCATCCGGCGCTCGTCGAGCAGCTGCTGTCTTTTGGCTCTAAGGACGGAGTAAAGGCCCAGCAGTGAAGACAACGAGCCCAGCGCACCGATCTGTAATTGTTTTTTTTAGTGAATGTATGGTATGAACGTCTTCGGTTTAAGAAATGGTAAGTTAAGAGCTGGCGAAATCATTAGTAAATATTTAATCTCGTAGGTATGAGTGTTTTATTTTGATTCAATAGCACGGAAGCCATAACTTTACCAATTTCTCAAGCCAAAAGAAAATTTGCTTTTGGTATAACTTCATCAATTTTTCATTTAAGGCCCACAAGGGGCAGAAGGCCTCATATGACCGACGACTTGCAGCTGAGAGATAAGGAGCAGCTCAGTCATCTCCGAGAGACTATGACGAGGCATGTATAGACCAAGAGGAATAAAATAAATTGTGCAAGCGTAAGACACCGCGCTTAGATGCTGAACTAATACTGTCAAATACCGCGAAGCGTTGTGCTGGCCCAGAAAATTGCCCCGGGAACGCGAAATTTCAAATAACTCTTGATGAGATTAGACTAAGTCAAACGAACTATTGAGAGAGATATTTTATAATAGAATTAATACTACCGTTAAAACTTTAACACAAACCAGCAACGAATTATTTCGAAACACGTTATGACAGTAATAGGCTTGCATATCTCAATTTAGTGCGCGTAAACGTGCAAACCTTGGGCTATTGCTATTTGTTCCAACGCTTTCTCCACAACTTGGTACCAGAATTTTAGCGCTCTCCTCCGAATTTTTTTTACTCTCCTTTCGATGACTTAACAGATTAGAACATATTTTCCGGGAAATAAATCTCAACTCACCTGACTCCTGCTGCCAGTTGAAGAATAGAGCATTGTCATTCCGTTCTTGAAATCAGCAGCAGACATGATAAGCGTCAACACCTGCTGACGATATCTGCAAACAAGAGCTCAGTTAAAGCCTGCACGACTCGTATTGGGTGAGCCTACCTAAAGTTCATACACAGAACAGAAAACAATCTATGTAAAGTAAGAACCAACAAAATACACAATAATTTCATTGGGCTGGATCAAAACCTGCAAACAGCTCATGAAAGAGACAGCTTCCAATTAGCAGGACATTTACACTTATATATCAACACAAAAGGCTGCATACCAGCCAAATACATGTCAGTGGTTTCTGTTTGTCTTTAATCTATTGCTGGAAGACATTACCGTTTTGTCTTGATTATTTTACCAGTTGAATTTTAAATGAAAGTAATTATCTGTGCCTCCAAAGTCACCTAATAAACATGGCGTGGAGAAGAACTACCAAGTGTACCATCTGATGGTAGTGTTTACGCTTTATGATGCTATTCCACTTGATAGTGGTTCTTTTTCTTTGCTCAGTGACACCGAAAATATATCTAAAACTACTAAAAGCAGCGACATGTCCTTGCTGATGTACAATATGAACTCAATTTACTTTGACCTCCTCAATATATCTTGGAGCGGAAAAGTTAGTAGTAAGAAGAGACTCTTCAATAACCACACACAGAAGGCATTGAAAAGAGATGAGTTTTTAAACAAATTAAAATAATTAACAGACAAGATATATGGCTATACCACACTTCCTAGGAAATTTTTAGTGTCATATAAAGAGACTGCAAAGATTTGATTTTAAATATGATACTTGAGTACTGCATTACTGAGAAAGTTAAATTAAGACAAGATTCTCTAATTTGAAGCTCACAGTTTGCCGCGTTCCTCGCTGCTGCCCAGCTTCTTGTCACGCTTCAGCTGTCGCATCGTCAACAAAGTCCTGCGCAATACTAATCATTTAAGAGCTTCACTTAGCAACGTCGAAGACATTGACACATACTCGTAGATATTAAAATATTGGTGGCAAGTGAAGTATTTTTTTTTAATTTAAAAATAGTTTTTATGTGACACAAAGATATTGGTGGCAAGTGAAGTATATTTTTTTTTTAATTTAAAAATGTTTTTTTATGCGACACTAAGATATTGGTGGCAAGTGAAGTATTTTTTTTTATTTAAAAATGTTTTTTCTGTGACACAATGATATTGGTGGCAAGTGAAGCATTTTTTTAAATTTAAAAAAGGTTTTTATGTGACACAATGTAATTGTCGAGAGTATTATGGACGAAGGACGTGGCCCAGAGTCGCACCTCAAGATAGTGCAGAAGAGGGACATGACCCAGAGTTGCACCTCAAGATAGTGCAGAAGAGGGACATGGCCCAGAGTTGCACCTCAAGATAGTGCAGAAGAGGGACATGACCCAGAGTTTGGTGGCGACGGTCTTGCAGGACGCGGCTCGAGGGTTCGCAGGCCACAGCCAAGCTATTTTCTCTGCCGGGTAGTAGAGGCTGTCGCACACATTGCCCAGCACGCTCAGCAACCACATTAGTCTGTCTAAAGCCCCGCAGTTCTGTAAACAAAGTCACTTTCGTTATAACCTACATCCGATGTATACTAATCAGCATCCAAGTATAGTTATCATTTTACTCATCAGTTTACATTTTGTCGCGAAGACTAACAATCCTAACAAAATCTTGTTTTCTTTGTTGACTTTTATCTGGGATCGTAAATGTACAAAAACTTCGCGTTCAGACAGTGACAAGTCAGGAATGAGGAACGGCGGTTACTTACTAGTAAATGTGGCCTACTGAGGCAGGTAACCTGAGACCGGTTCAGTAAACCTGGTGGGGTTTACAGAACCGGTGTCCGGGTGTGGTTAATTGAGACGTGTCACTGGGTGTAGTTTAATCAGGTCCGTCGACTGATATGCTGTTGAGCTGGTGTCTTGGTGTGGTAATACTAACACCACCCGCACTAGGCTACCTGCTGTGGCTTACCTGGCGTGGTTTACAGAGGCAGGTTACCTGACGTGGTTCACAGAGGCAGGTTACCTGACGTGGTTTACAGAGGCAGGTTACCTGGCGTGGTTTACAGAGGCAGGTTACCTGACGTGGTTTACAGAGGCAGGTTACCTGGCGTGGTTTATTGTGGTAGGTAACGAAGGTTGTGCGTAACTTGGGCAGTTCATCGAAGGATCTGAAGACCAGCCTCGCCAGGCCGATGTCGCAGCTGATGCGGTCTAGTTTGGCCCTACGAAAAGTTATTGGAATAAATAGGATGCAATATCGACGGATTATTTAATGTGATAATGAGTATTTTGAATTTTACATTCAAACAAGGAAAACATAAGAAGTTGGCCCTCTTATTTAGGGATTATTAGTTATAGTTTCATTATATAAGTTTCAGGAGCAGTGAGGCGCCTATACTCACAGTTTGTGAGGTGCCTACACTCACTGGTTGTGAGGCGCCTGTACTCACTGGTTGTGAGGTGCCTGTACTCACTGGTTGTGAGGCGCCTGTACTCACTGGTTGTGAGGCGCCTATACTCACTGGTTGTGAGGCGCCTGTACTCACTGGTTGTGAGGTGCCTGTACTCACTGGTTGTGAGGCGCCTATACTCACTGGTTGTGAGGCGCCTATACTCACTGGTTGTGAGGCGCCTGTACTCACTGGTTGTGAGGCGCCTGTACTCACTGGTTGTGAGGGGCAAGGTGAGGTGAAGCAAATATGGCCAGGTGCTGACAGAGACGCAGGAGCTTCTCACGCACGCGGAGGTCTGACAAATTATCCAGAACGAACGGCATTAAAGATGCCGACATTGTGGATTGATTTATTTATGTTATCTTTAATGATAAGGCATGAATCTATGAAATATTCTGGCAGTTAATGGACCTGTGAATGATGAGATTGTGTTGATATTATTATAGCCACACAAAATGTAGCGGTAATACTCTTGAAAGCTTCCATCATCGCGAAAGTGAAAAAATAGGTTCCTTCCACAAGTGATAACCAAATATGCTGCCATTTTTCATTACTTTTCAATCATGTAAAACCTCTGAAGCTCGATTATGCGTTATTTATTCTCCCCCTTAAGACTTTCGTTACCATTCATATCGAGCCAAGGTCGATACGAAACGAACTTTACAGAGTCGATAATCTTTTAGTTTCGCAGAAAACTTACTTACAAAACATATTTTAATGTCATTTAAAAATATATTTTATGGCTCATACTCGAATTGGAGGAGCTTCCTGCCAAAACTAGTGATGGTCTCGCATACTTAAGTCTTTGGATGCTAACCACATTAAGTATGAATTATCTATCTACTCCAAAAACAAGAGTTACTCTCTGAAAAATTTATCGCGTCCAATCTAAGTAATTTTAGAGTCCTCCTCTACAGCTCCAAGAGCTTCACTTCAATCTCACTAGGTGGGCTAATTAAATAATACTCAAAGCTTGTTCTTGCTCCTTGATACAATATAAATCATGTAAATAAATAATTCATGTAAATAATAAGATCAAGGGCCGTACTATCACAACTCCAAATTTCTATTCACTGATTAGTGGATTCAGCTTGAATGGCCGTCAGAGATAGGCTGAGTTATGTCAGGCTGAGGGCGTCAGAGATAGGCTGAGTTATGTCAGGCTGAGGGCGTCAGTGATAGGCTGAGTTCTGTCAGGCTGAGGGCGTCAGTGATAGGCTGAGTTATGGCAGGCTGAGGGCGTCAGTGATAGGCTGAGTTATGGCAGGCTGAGGGCGTCAGTGATAGGCTGCAACTAGTAACTAATTTTGATAGTGCGGCCCTAGAGCTACTGGGGCGCCAGAGGGTCGTAGAGCTCCCCTGCATGCCAGCTAAGACCGGCATTGCCCTGGGCCTGCAACTCAATTAAAACTAATGATGACAATTTACGTTTATTTTTTCAAATTTAACTCATTTTTGTCCACGAAAATTCTTAGCTGCTGAAAAAATAGAATTTTATCTTTATAAAATTTTATCTAAACATAATACCTTATTATCATTCTCACATTTAAGGTGGAAACTCGTTCTCATCGTTTTTTTACGAGCGTTATCCGATATGTTCTAATACACAGCAAATATAGCAATTAAGTCAAATTTGAATTATTTCGGTTGTATTATAGTTTGAATGATAGTAATCTCTGGGGAAATTTGAAGTACAAATGACGATGTGATGACCCAACATCAGAAAATATAATACAATGGCATTCAATTGATCAAAACAAAGCTAAGATAAAACTCATTAATTGAAGACAACGTCAATAAATTCACCACACAAAAAGCATTGAAGCAACAGCTGATGCCATCAACACACATTCCAGGAACGATCCAACCATTGACAATATTCCAACATACACAGCACGTAAGTGTTTCTGTGTGTGTCATCATGGCAGTTGGACAGTCACGGACTGTCGTAGACGACATTCAAGTTGCCCTCGTTCATAGATAACTAACAAAAATAAACTATTAAAATATACCAACAAATAAAGCTTACATCATTATTCCATAAACCACCGGAAAAATCAGTTGGAAAAGACTTGAAAGGGAAACTGTGAAGATGATTTTTGAGCGCAAATCAACGGACTAGATAAAACCACCAAAATAGCGTTAACTAGCTCGCTGGTAGTACGTGGACACTTTTATGGTTATGAAAACTTTTTTGTAAGTTACTCTCTACTTGTCAGCCGTACTACCAAGCAGTCATAGTCGCACAATTTAGAATGCAACTAAAATATAGAAACGGTTAATTTTTCATCGAATACCTTCCTGTTTCCAATCTAAATTTTCTTGAATTTTGCTACTGCTTGGAAAGCACAATTATTGAAAATCTTCAAATTGCAAACATAAATGGTTTGTCTTGAAGAAGCAATGTCACAAATGAGCATCAAGTGGCAAAAAACATATAAATGGCTGCCGTCAAAACATGAGAAGATAATTGCCTAAATAGCTGCAGTTCTGAATATTATCACAAAGAGTAGTACAATTTTACAAAAACTTTTCTGTGGAAGTAACATCATTCATTAAGTACTAAGCATCATACACAACGCTTTAGCTTTTTCTTCATCAAATTCTTGTATAAAGTTTATTTTCTAAACAGGAGAGCATCACTGCCGTTATAGCAGGCGGAATATTGGCACACGGTAAATTTAATGATAAAGGTATATTCTATATACGTACATTCAAAAACATAGATATTTCATAACAAACTTTATACCTCTAAATGTATAAAATATGTCAACATTCATTTACAGGGTAACAATTTTAAGTCTTAGTGAAGTTATTTAGCAAAAGTCATAAATAATCAGAAGATTTGTCTGGCATTTGAGAAATATCTTCTTATTTCATGTCAATGAGCCTCAACAGATCACATTGATAACTCATTGAGCGAAGGCTCAATCTTTGAGCTGTTATTCTTTAATTTAAAGCTGTTAATCTTTGAGCTGTCAACTTTTATTTAATTCTGTTAATCTTTGAGCTGTTAATCTGTAATTTAAAGCTGTTAATCGTTATTTAAATTTGTTAATCTTTGAGTTGCTGCAGCCGAGCGAGGGCTTCTCTTAGCGCCGTGTTGTTGTGGTGGTCGCCGAACTCCAGCTCGCGGTGCTCATACAGGATGCCTGTGTCGCCGGGCCCGATCAGGTACACAGCTGCACAACATACACAATTGTATTAGATACATAGCTTTGTGTACATAATTGTTGTAAAATGTACACAATTGTACATTTTACAACACACACACACAATTGTGTCAGGTACACAGCTGTATAACACATACACAATTGTGTCAGGTACACAGCTGCACAACAAACACACAATTGTGTCAGGTACACAGCTGCACAACATACACAATTGTGTCAGGTACACTGGCACAACACACACACAGTTGTGTCAGGTACACAGTGGCACAACACACACACAGTTGTGTCAGGTACACAGCGGCACAGCACACACACATAAAGGTTTAGTAAATTGACACAATCAGCCTGACTAGAGCGTCACAACGTCACAGATGCAGAGATATGAATCTTGACTCATAAGAAATGAATCTTAGGTCATAAATAACTAAATGGACCAAAAGATAAAAGGTTGCATAGTCCGCAACAAACAAACTTCACATAAAAGGTTCATTTAAAATCAAACGTGTGCAATGAACAAGAACACCCGTAAAAAGGCATGAATATTCATGCGAAATTATCAGTGGCTGAAGGGGACGGCACCAACAAGAATACAAGGTTGATTAGGCTTGAAAAAGTGCGTAAGTATGAGAATATATACCTGACTAAATTAAGACATTACATTTCCTACTAGATATATGTACAATTTAATTAATTCATAAATTGGATGATTTAAAAAACAATGCTCATAGATTGGTAAAGGAATGCGGAATATATCTGACCTCCAAGTAGAGTTCCGTCGCCCTTCATGTTGCCTTCGACGCCCTTCTGCGTGGCCTTGTAATATTTGGTGTAGAGGCTCAGGCGCAGCAGCCCCATGATGCCAAGACGACGCTCACCAGGTCCAAAGAAGCGCTTCTCCACATCCAAATACAGATCACCACTGAAGTATCTGAAACAAAACCAATATAAGGTTCAAAGTATCAACTGCAAAATTACACTTAATTGCATCTCACACATGAAATAAAATAAATACATTTGGCAAGCTAATTACACTTCCATGATAGCAAATTTTACAATTAATAAACTAAGAAGAGGGAAATTAGGAGATAGTTTGTGATGCATAGCATGGAAAGAGATGGTACAAAGCACGGCTTTAGAACAGTACAGCAGCAGCTCATTCACAATTAAAAAAGGAACATCAGACAGAACTGACATAATTTTAGTCACAACTATCAAAGAAAAGAGTTTTAAGCCAGTTTATTCATAAAGAAGACATAGGACACTCCTCATTTTGCCTATGAGTAGTTCACCAGATAATCCAGAAGCTAAATGCTGCATCAGCAAATGGGGGAATGATCCTATTCCATCAGGCATTAATGAATACAAAAGAACATATGAAAACGTGGCTGACATTTCATTAGGGGATAAGAATCCTCCAAAAGATGCAAGTGCATATTAAGATAATACATGAAGAGAAAGAAGACTTGAAGTATAAAAAATATATAAATACAGGAAATTCCCAACAGTCAAAAAAAAATAAAAAAAAAACAAGTGGGGAAAAACAGATGTTCAAAAGGAAGAAAAAGGATTGAGTGAAAGAAATAAGCTTGTCAAATAGATTTTCCAATGAGAACTAATATACCAACATGATCAGAATTATACCTTGAAGAACAGAAATAAGCTGCAAATAACATAAATATACCTTCAAGAAAAGAAATCAGGCCTTTGATCTGAAAATGAATAAGCCCTCAAATCTGAAAGAAAAGTTTTGAAGAACAAATATTATATTACCTATAGCTAAGAATACCTACGAGTCTGCAAGTACAAGAAAAGTTCCACAAGAACAAAAATAATTTCACCCATCAACAGAAATTAGCTCTAACTGAAAAAAAAATTAGCAACCTGAGGCAGATTCAATACAGAAATAGGCGTTTAAATACTGATATCAGTGTTTGAATTAAAAAAATTAGCATCCGGGTAATTTAACTTCGGTGTTAAATCTCTCACTTTCTCCCAAACTGTCCTCACTGATTGTGGCTTGAAGAGAAATTAGAACATTAATCTTCAAAGTTTTGATGCTACTAGTAAGGGATTTGCTATCAGACAGTTATTCCACTATCAATCTTCACCTAACCTCCCTGACTATGTTGGCCAAACCAACGTAGTTAAGGGGACCGACTACCCTAAAATTTTCAATTTTGGCGTTTTCCGGTTTTTGTGCTCATCTTAAAGCTGGAATTCTGCTCTTTCCAATGGTACCACTGCCATCTTTAAATGTGTTAGCTAGCTTATACAGGGTGGGGCAGAACTGATTGAACAGTTTTGAGGCGAAATAAAAGAGTAATGGAGGTACATTAAGAAGAAAGTTTATTTTCCTCATGATTAGCATAACATACCATTTAAAATACTTATGTTTTGAAAACAATATCAGGAAGATGGGGTTTGTTAGCTGCATCACACTGTTGGAGTTGTTCTTGGAAGTTTCCTTAAGCACGTTCACATATGGCGAGGTATGGCCATAACCTCTGCTGCAATAATCTGTTCCCTTAGCTGTGGTAGGGTGTGAGGGCAACTTCTGAACCCCTTTCTTTAAGATGTCCCCAAAGAAATAAATCGCAAATGCTCAAATCAGGTGACCTTGCAGGCCACTGTAAATCACCCCTTAGAGACACCAGACCTACAGGAAACATGCGTTTCAAAACATTGAGTAACATTCAAGCTGTGTGAGCTGTAGCCCCATCCTGCTGGAACCACGTCTCTCAATGCTTCATTTTCAACAATGTTTTCAATCATGGGCTGCAAGAAATTTTGCAACATTGCAGCATAGCAATCGAAATTCACTGTCATGGTTACTCCCTCCTCTGAGAACAACTCCAACAGTGTGTTGCAGCTAACAGCCCCCATCTTCCAGATATTGTTTTCGAAACATAAGTATTCTAAATGGTATGTTATGCTAACCTCTAGGAAAATAAACTTTCTTCTTTATGTACTTCCATTACTTTTTTATTTTACCTCAAAACTACTCAATCGGTTCTGCTCCACCCTGTATATTGAGAGGTTGAGATTGTATTGAACTTTTAGGCAATTAGAAAGATTTCCACCCTAATACGAGTATTCTAATTGAAATATTTAATTTCAATCGTTAAATATGTGAATTTAAAACTAGAAACAATTACAATTATAAGACAATATATAAAATAATTAAATGCAGTGAATGGATATAAAATATTTGAATTGTGCACATGTTTATTTCAAACAGTGTTAGCTTTTCTCATAACTTAAGTCTCATTTCAAGTCGTATGAGGTTTGTTTGGTTATCGTTCAGTTTATTTTTAGTATTGGTTTATTTGTCTGAATTAAATGGGAATAGTGCAGTCAGTCACTCAGTCACTACTAGTCGGTGTGTATAGAGGGTAGAGTCTGGTAGATTTATAGGACATAAAACTAGTAGATCTATTGATAGTGCTGTGCACTGAGCTATCAGCTACCTATCTGTTATGTGACTGTTCAATGTTTAGAAGATCTGCACTCCTGAAGTGTTTTTGCATATTGAAGCCAGTTAAATGGTCAATATTTAGCTCATTACCTTGCTCCATACAAACTTGACAAAGCTAATGAATAGACTTATCAATATTTGTTTACCCAAAAATCCCTAAGTGGTAAACACCACCTTGGCCTGTTGGCCATTATTGAAGGCAATAAGTGCCCTTTTTAGCCATCCATTATGATCCATATACTGTTATTGTTAGTAGGCTAATTGCAACATAAAAAATAACACCTCAAAAAATACAAAAAAGCTGAAAAAATAAAAAAAATAAAAAAAATCATGAAAAAATAAAAAAAATCATTGATTTTTGATTTTTTTGATTTCTTTAAAAAAAAATCAAAAAAATCGCCAACCCTGAATGCTGCTCACTTGCGGAAGGCTTGCAGGGCGCGCTCACTGTGACGCTCATGCAGTAGCCCATACAGAGGCACTCCAACCTCTTCTAGGAGGGGCTGCAGAGCACTGAGCTCTGCTGCCTCCTGCGCATTTCAACACCTTCTTAATAATACTGTTAATATGGTATCTTAGATACTATAATTTTAAAAATTGTAAAACTTTTTCCCGGTCAGAAATGTTTTATAGGTACAAGGATTCATCACTAAATGATGATTTTATCAAATGATGATTTTATCAAATGATGATTTGATAAAATTAGAAGACATTAGAAATTAAGAGTTAGCTCCATCAATCTTTTTTTGAGCCTTCATGTTCCCATCATTCTTTGCATGAACTTCCATGATACATAATTTAAGATTATTTTATTAATTTATTTTCAATAAAGTAACCAAAAAATCAAAAACAAAATTGATTGAGTTACTTTTAGAGGACAGAGAAAACATCACCCAAATCATAATTTTTCTTCAAACTATGTCACAAACAAGAAAGCTTCCTGTAACAGCAGAATCTTTTTCAGCAGAGTTGAGAAGTAATGGCATGAGAGCCAAGAGGCATTTCTTAATGACCTTAGTACACCTAAGAGTAATTAAAAACTAGTTCATGAGATTAATAAATTTATTTTTAATAAATCATACCTGAGATTTGTGATTTTACTGACATCAAGTACAATGTAAGTGAATAACAGACACAATCCTTAACAACAAATGTGCAACAAAGATCAATGATGCTGCTACAAGGTATATCATTTATAAATCTGAGGCCAGGATATAATGGAATAACTCATAAAATATAAATGGTTTCAAGCAGATGCAAATTGTGAAGAATGGTATTTGTATTCTGCCTGATTAGTTCCAGGACATAATAGGATCCATGAAATATTTTCCATTCCTTGGAACACAAGTATGTCAAAATTTTATCTAAGAGAATGCATTTACTCAGAAAATATTCGCTGCCCTTACCTCCCTGCACAAGGCTCACCCAGGGCGTCGGATGGCCATGACAAGAGCCCCGCTACTTTTCCAAAGCTCCTCCCCTGTCAAATCCTTGTTGCCCAATAAACTGATCAAGGGGGTGTTCTTCAGTAAATCTGTCAACACAGAGCCAATAATATAAAAATATGATTTCCATTCATTGTAAATGTTCATTTTTTATAATTACCGTATATAATTCCAGAACTTTAAGCCTAAAGTTAGAAGAATTATTTTATTTTGAGGTTTCAGAGGAACCAAATCTATAAAAAGAAAGCAATTTAAATTTATATTCATTATATGTGAATATGACTCCAAATTAAAATAGTACATCATTGCATAGGTTCCACAATTATGTATAAAGAAGGGAATACATAATCCTGATATAAATTAGTTCCTTACCTATGTGGTTTCTGGAGCCTTGTGAGCCAAACCAAAATGAAGGTGGAAGATTACAGTAAGCAAGTATGCCTGCTATAGAGCTCCCTGTGACAATCCATGCCCAACTACTGAACATCTCAGGAATTAAAGACATTCTGTAAAACATAAGTTAATTATTAAATTACCATTATTATCAATGCATGGGTATAAATTAAGCAATTAACTATAGAAAGTTTAGAAAATGTCATTATTACAACCTCCAAGCTCATTGACAATTTCATTCAGGCTTGTAACCAGTCACATAATCACTCATGGCAATTCATTCAATACATTTTTGCCAGCAGCTTTTCAATAATTAGCCTAATTTTCTAGTCAGACACCTTATCAATTTATGCATACCTATTAATTATTTTTAAAATCTCTGATTAATAAGAGAGGGAAGATATATATTGTTTAATAAATTCTGATCTAAAATTATTGAGATTTTTTGGAAGTATTTCCATGCATTCTTTATTATAACACTTCTCTTTAACTTCACTTCTTGTTTTTTGTTTGTCTGCTACAAATCTTATAATCAATACATTTAACACACTTCTACTTGTCCAATCGATCTGAAATTTTGCACACTTGCATAAAGTTGGAGACAATGCATGAATAAATTGACAGAATGAATAATTTTAAAGATTGAAAAAATTTTTAATATTTGAAAATTTTCTAAATATTTCAAAGTTTTCTAAATATTAGAAAATTTTTCAAATATTTTAAATTTTTAAAATATTTAAAAAAATTAAAAATATTTATTTTAATATTTAGAAATAAAATAAGAAATTCATTGTATATGTGTAACATTAGAGACACTGGCCACTTTTGAAGTGTTGTCTTTAAAATGTAATTTTTAACCATATATTATTAACTATTAAGTATTATGGCTAACTTGCTAAGAGCATTATGCCAACCAGTTGCCATGAATTTCATTGGTAATTCTGGAAAGTACTGAGAGTGTGACTGCTGAAAGCACACTTAACACCTTTCTTCTAAACTCCTTCAAGGCTAAAATGCACTCAAATAATAATAAAAATTGTTTTGAAAGAGGGCATAGTGCTGCCTAGGGACTCGGTGAATTTATTCCAGCTCTTTTTTTTCTTTTACAGAGCAATATTTTTTAAAGTGCAAAATAATGTTAGTAGAGCATCAAGTTTGAGGGAGTTGGATGGTTTGAGAGATGGTTCTTTGCTTTTTTCCTGTCTTCAACAGCACAATTCCAGACAGTGTGGAATTCCAGAGGGGTAATATATTAACTGGTAAACATAGCAATTCAGAAAGCTTGACCTAAAAATCTGGAAAGCCCAGCATACCTACACTTTCAGTCCATCATCATCACTGACAAGTCTCTGCAAGCTGCCACAGCTGTTTCATTGAAAAAAAAGAGCTTACATCATCACAGTAACAAGGATCCAATCAATGCTTAAACATGTCCAATGTCACAGTCACATGAATCCAATCATCGCTAGAACGTGTGCAACGTCGCAGTCACAAGAATCCAATTAGCATCAGAACATGTGTGACATCACAGCCACTGGAATCCAATCAGCATTAGAAAGCTAGAATGGACTGCCCCAAATGCACACAATGTTAATGCACTGATGCTAATTTAATGCATAATGCTACACTTCTTATTTCAAGTGGGTAATACAATAATGTAGTTATGTCACTATTGATGGAAATCACAAAGAATAACATCATCACTATGTACATTCATTCACAAATACATGAAAAACTGCCTATGATTTAATCCACATATACAAAACTGACCACTGATGCAATAAGCTGAGATGTGGAAACTCCTTCCGTTACAATCAGGATTACCAACTTGACAAAAAACAAACAAATAAGGTAGCAGGCCACAGGGACACCAACCATCAATATACTCATGCAAAAAAATGATAGATACGAATTCTTCTATATTACAAATTTATCAGTAACTGACCTTAAATTTATTTTATTTATTTATTGACATTTATTTATCATTTATTTTTTATTTATTTATTGACAAATTTATCAGTAACCTATGTAAATCATAAATGTTATACATGCAGAATCAATCGTGTGCAACAGCCAAAGTGGCGGGAATGATGGTTAGTGGTTACTGTTTACTTCTTAGTTCTCGTTACGCAATCAGTGTGTGAGGTAACTGCACTAACTGCAGATAATGCTCCCAAACTTGGAGACGATAATTGCGTGAAAACTTTATGCGACATATTGTGAGCCTTCTAAAGTTTCAATAATGAAGAAATCACAAGGTTTACAGAATCTAAAGGCTTGATTGCTAAATTGTCGAGTACAGTACTCCATTTTAATCAGTCAACTGAGTCAAGTGTCATGTTGTGCATTGCCTTTTCTTTGAGAAGTTTCTCCGATTGCTGACATACAGAATTTGAAAGCTGACATACAGAATAGGTGCAATAAATGTTTTTTTATATTTAATTTGAAACCATTATGTTAAACCTAACCTGCAGGGACTCTCAATTGTCTCTCCTGCTACGTCTACAGGCTATGGTGAGTGCCAGTTTACCTAGGCATCCTGGTAGACGGGATGTTAGGCAGAATAAGAACCTGGTAGCCTGGATGTTAGGCAATACAGCAAAAGTACAGTAAAATTGGACGTACTTCAAATGGCAAGAGTAAATAGTATTTCCTTCTGTAGATCCCTCTTGCTTATTTGCAAGTGACGCGCACAATTAACAATCTTGGGACCTTCACTGTGTTGCCTGATGTAACGTAACGTTCATGCTGATTTCCGAGGCTGATTTCTGACAGCCTATAAACCTGTTTCTAGTGTCTGGAACGTTCTTTTAAAGGCAAAACACTTTTTTTAAAGTGAACCACCAATTTTAGAATTCCACTCTGATTCCAGAAGTTCCAGAACAGCACAATTTCTGTCAGACCCACTGTGCAGAGAGTGGATGAATATCGATTGAAATTCTTGCATTTAATATATTTGTCAGTCTTCGGCCAACTATTAAAAAAAAGTAATGTTTCCGATATGTTCGATGGATCAGGATGCAGTGAAGCTCGTCCGGAAATCAGTTGCGATGAGTTCCCGCCAAAAAAATGTAAACATCAAGCTTACGATTACGTACCTAGTTGCGGTCACATTAGAGTGGTCAGACTGCATTATCACATGTTCAGTTGACACTTGCTGTACAATCGGACTGTTTTTAGGGTAAAATTAGTTATTTGGGGTAACACGTGCATGCAACCTTGTAAATAAGTTCATGGCTTGTAAATAGTTTTTCATTACTCAGCGTAAATGACTTTTCATTAAAAATTACCCAGCGACTCATCTTAAAATTACCCTGCGACGCTTAGGGCTTAAAAACCCATATATTGGCAACGCTGCATCCACCTTCTGCACCCTACTGCCAGACGAATTACCTCTTATCTAATTGTTAACAAAATTGCACAATTGGGCCATGAGATACCGAATCCAAATGTATTAAAAATTTGTCATGTTGGAGCTGTGAGATTTCAGAAACAAGTAGGAAAATTCCAATCCTAAAGTTTGGACTTTGGGACACAAAATATACACTTGACACAGTTCACAGTATATCATTATAGGGATTATATCATGTGCAAAGTCTAAAGATAAATCCCAATGAGACTTATGGGAGAAAAATAACAAAAAATTACACGATTGACATCATGACAAGTTATTCAGTGATGTGGCATTCAGGCATTGTGGCCAAGGTTTCAAGGAAAATAATATAGCCTCATTATGAAAATGAGAATAATAGTGAACTAAAATGATGGGATTTTAATTGGTTTACCTAAATTTAAATCTTGGCTGACCCACAAACCTACTCCTACCTAGTTCCTACTGCCTCTTCTCATGGCGAGAAGAGGAAGAGCTGGGAGGAGCCTGGGAGGGGAGAGAAAGCCAGCTGGGTTCTTGTCGTAGTTAACTCTAGTCTCTGGAGTCTGGACTTTGGACAGAACCCTCGCTAAATATACTCGAGCTCGAGGCATAAATAGAAGAATAGTAAGTTAGTAACTATATTTCAAGATCAAGTTAAACGTGATTTGTGAATGATTATTTGCCGGTTAACTTTATGCAATCAAGGGTGATGCGATAGACACTAAAGATGTTCACACGATGAATGCAGCTGACTCTCTTGATGATCTTGATCTTCTACTAGTTGACGGCATGTTCCACCAGAGGCTATTTTTGCCATAATCTGCTTATTTATTAAGTCTCAGGGCTGGAATTGATGAGTTTTGCCGATGAATACTTCAACAGCTTTGCAGATGTGCGGCCAGGCAGAGCAGTTGGAGGTGTCTCCTCCCAGCAGTGAAGCAGTGCAGAGTGTAAGAACTCCATGCAAGTTTACTTGGTGACGCAGTTGTGCACGGGCTTCTTCGAGCTCCGTGCAAGAGACAAGATAATGATGCGAGGTTTCTGGGGCGTTGCATGAGGGGCACAGCGGAGAGGGGGCTTGGCGGATTTGGTAGAGGGCCTTGTTCAGTGGAGCTGTGCCAAGGCGGAGTCTTGCAAAGAGCGTCTCATTTCGACTAGTCTGTAGCTTGCAGAAAGACCATGGTCGCACTGATGGTTTGATTGTTCCCAGGGTAAATTGGCCACAAATTGATGTCCACTTAGCTTGCCAAAAGTTCCAGGCTCCCTTCTGTACTATAGACTTGAGTTCAGAGAATTTGAATGGTATGTCTGCCAGTGGGTCGTCAGACATTGCTGCCTGCTTAGCGATTCTGTCTGCCGCCTCATTGCCCTGTATGCTCGAGTGACTTGGTATCCACTGGAAATGCACTTCTCCCCTTGGAAGTTGAAGGAGATTATGGTGAATAGTGGCAATAAGATGTGAATAGCTCCTGGGGAATGGTTGCATTAGGAGCTGTAGTGAAGATAGACTGTCTGTGCAAATCAGTGCTGGGTGAATGCGGTTGTCCAATAGGTATTTCACAGCTTGTAGGATGCCATATAGCTCTGCTATGTAGCCACTGTGACTGATATCCAAGAAATTTTGGTTCATTTTTCTTTAGCCATGTTTCACTTAAACAAACCAGATCTGGCTTCCTTGTGTACATATAGATCTTAAGTTCTGAAACTTTACCCTTGAGACCATTGCAGTTTAGTTGGTAGATT